TTTTTTGTATTTTTAGTAGAGACGGGGTTTCACCGTGTTGACCAGGATGGTCTCGATCTCTTGACCTCATGATCCACCCGCCTCGACCTCCCACAGTGCTGGGATTACAGGCTTGAGCCACCGCGCCCGGCCCATTAAATTATTTTTATGATAAAACTATAACATGATGACTATAAAAAATATAAAAATATGGAAAAGAGGAAACTACTGCCACCCAAAGGTGCCACTGAAACATCTGGATGGCCCAAATGACTTCCTAACTGGGCTCTGGCCATGGGCAGTGGAAGAACAGCTCATGATTCGTGGCACTGACTCTGAGTCAGATGACTGGAGTCAGGTGTCAGGTCTGCCACATGCTGGCTATGCCACCTTGTGCAGGACACTTAGCTCAGCCACCATCAATGGACTGTATGACAGTTTCAATGCAGACTCACACCCTTCTTAGGCCTTGTGCTGTTTTGGAATTTCCAAGGCTAACAGGTGTAAGAAGGAAATGAACAACATACTGTTTCAGATTCCCCAGCATTTAAAAGTCTGGATACCTAAGACTCATGCAGTGTAAACAACAAGCCAAGGGCTGGGCGTAGTGGCTCATGTAATCCCAGCACTTTGGGAGTCTGAGGTGCGCAGATCACTTGAGGTTGGTAGTTTGAGACCAGGCTGGCCAACATGGTGAAACCCTGTCTCTACTAAAAATACAAATTTAGCCGGGCGTGGTACTATATGTCTGTAATCCCAGCTACTTGAGAGGCTGAGGCAGGAGAATCACTTGAACCCTGGAGGGTGGAGGTTGCAGTGAAGCGAGATCACACCACTGCACTTCAGCCTGGGCAACAGAGAGAGATTCCATCTCAAAGAAAAAAAGAATAAGTCAAGGAGGATCTGAACTGGGGTCTGTGTGGTGGGGCCAGATTGCTGCAGGGGAGGCAGAAGGGAGAGCCTCCTAAGTCAGAGGACTGAGCAGGAAGTCGGGCCTGGCATCCGTGAGCTGCATGACCCTATGACAAGTCACCTTACTATTCCTGAATCTTAGCTTCCTGAGGCATCTGCAGTGGTACAACTAGCATGGGGTGTGACTCAGAGCAGCCGCACAGGAGCCTGCAGTGTGGACAGCCCCTTGCAGCTGCGTGGTACAGTGGCTCTGGACTAGACCTGAACATCTCTGAGGGGAGACACCTTTTTTTTTTTTTGAGACACAGTCTCGCTCTGTAGCCCAGGCTGGAGTACAATGGCGTGATCTCGGCTCACTGCAACCTCCGCCTCCAGGGTCCCAGTTCAAGCAATTCTCCTGCCTCAGCCTCCTGAGGAGCTGGGATTACAGGCGCATACCACTATACCCAGCTAATTTTTGTATTTTTAGTAGAGATGGGGTTTCACCATGTTGGCCAGGCTGGTCTTGAACTCCTGACCTCATGATTCACCCACCTCAGACTCCCAAAGTGCTGGGATTACAGGCATGAGCCACTGTGCTTGGCTGAGAAACCTTCTAAGTTCTAAAAATGAACAGACATGTGACCTCTGCAGCACTCCCTATTTTGGGGTTGGGGTGGGCTCTGCCCTTTTAAGGGTGTCAGGAGAAATTCTGGATTTAGGAACTCTGTGATTTTTCTTCATAATCACTACCCAGGCACCAAGTATTCTCCTCCCCAGGAATAAAATCTTTATTTCATGCCTAGCAGAAGCCAGTCAGAAACAGACCCAGCAGTAGATCCCTTACCCTTTTTATAACAAAAGATCTGGCACGTCTGAGTTCTGAGCCCTTGCAGGAATACTGAGATTTTCGTTGTCTCTTTACTGCAAAAAAATGGAGGAAGAGATAAATGAGTAACCACAGGGTCTGTCCACAACTGTGCGATGCTTACAGCTGCGCTTTTTCATTCCACCTGAGCTGCCAAATGACACTCCTACTACTATTCTCGTAGATCCCAACTGTGTTACCGACTTATCTGATTAGACCACTTGATCCAGGGAAGCAGCAAGGAGAAGCAGACAGGCTGTGAATTTAGGTAAGTTACTCCCCTCCCTCCAAGGCTGTTTCCCCATCTATAGAATATATTAAATGGTACCTACCTCCCAGGTGTTATAAAAATTTAGCAAGGAGGCTGGGTGCGGTGGCTCATGCCTGTAATCCCAGCACTTTGGAAGGTCGAGGTGGGTGGATCACCCGAAGTCAGGAGTTCGAGATCAGCCTGACCAACATGGTGAAACCCCATCACTACTAAAAATACAAAAATTAGCTGGGCGTGGTGGCACATGCCTGTAATCCCAGCTACTCGGGAGGCTGAGGCCAAAGAATCACTTGAACCTGGGAGGTGGACATTGCAATGAGCTGAGAGTACACCACTGCACTCCAGCCTGGGCAACAGAGCGAGACTCCATCTCAAAAAAAAAAAAAAAAAAATTAACAAGGGAATGGATAAAAGCACCTGGTGTCACATGTAGGTGGTGTCTAAATGGTACTATTCCTCCCTCCTTCTTGCCCAATGTCAAGAATTCAGATTTAAGGCTCCTTCAGAAGAAGACAGAAATATCCTCATCTGAAACTTGGGATTCCTACTCAGTTGCATTTTAGATACTAAAAATACCAAGCCCCATGAAAACAGCATCAAAGCTAAGAGAAAGATTTTTGCCTTTTTCTCCTGGGCTGCTGTGACTTTTCTCTCTTAAAGCCTTCTTCTCCAACTCAAATCTCTCAATTGCCTTCAAAAACCAAGAAAAAGGAGGGATTAGGGACTAATGCAAGTCCTGGAGAAGGGTGGGTTCAGGAACTGGGCCTTTTGTCTTAGACCTGGAACAAAGTTTGTGGCCAGTACCTTGTCTTTCCACAGGTGGTAGGTCCTGGTGGCCTCAATGTCACTGACATCATTCCCCAGAGTGTCCCCACTGTCTCATGCTGCCCCTTCTAGGAGTAAGTGATTTAGAGCAGGAATTGTAAATTAAACAAGCTATTGTTTAATTTCTTTGTAAAAGTGGGATAATAGCCATCTTCCACGTTCCTTATAAGGGTCAAAAATAAAGTACTTAAGGTATTTTAAAACACTGGCAAAGAGGCTTTCAGATAGGAGCTGTTCAATAAGGGGTATCTATTTCCCCTTGACCTCTCAAAAGAGACTTGTCTTGATCTCTGACTCCTCCCCACCCCCCTTCTTCCTACCCCCCTGAAAAGAAAGAAAAATGAAAGTCAGCTGGGTGCAGTGCCTCACGTCTGTAATCTCAACACTCTGGGAGGCTGAGGCAGGTGGATCACGAGGTCAGGAGTTTGAGATCAGCCTGACCAACATGGTGAAACCCTGTCTCTACTAAAAATACAAAAGTTAGCTAGGCATGGTGGCGCATGCCTGTAATTCCAGCTACTTGGGAGGCTAAGGCAGGAGAATCGCTTGAACCTGGGAGGTGGAGGTTGTGGTGAGCTGAGATCGTGCCACTGCACTCCAGCCTGGGTGACAGAGTGAGATTCCATCTCATAAAAAAAAAAAAAAGAAAAATGAATGTTAGTGACCTAAGTTGCATTGATTATCAGCAAAGAATCCAGCAATGAACTTAGATAACAAAGTTAACAAAGAAGTATGAGTCTATGAGTCTGTGTTTTTGCCCTCAAGGAACTTATAGTCTATTTGGAGAGCCAAATCAGCATCCATGAAACAATGTAGTGCTAAAAAAAATGAGGTCAGCGTGGGCCAGAGCAGTCACAGAGGACTATCCAGAAGAGGTGGACATGAGTGTCGGTGGCATCGTACTCTTAAGCTTGATAAACTGGGAAATGCCTCTCCAGGCCTCCCCCATCTTACCCTTGCATCGGCACTCCCTGCTCTGCATAAGTGAAAGGTACTGGACACGTGTGCAGGGGTGTGTGTATCTGTGTGTGTGCCAGTGGGCGGGGTGGGGGGATGGTCATATGGGTTAGTCTGTGTATTAACATTGTTACTCCAATTAAGCAAGCTGAAATTCAAGGCACTGGATGAATGAATTGGATGGGTATGAGTCACTGTAGCAATATAGCAATACCTCTGATCTTTACCAATGTCATTGTGGCAAACATTGTATGGCCTGAAAGGATGGATAAGATTGTACAGAAAGAGGGGAGAAAGGATAGTTGAATGTTGAAAGAAGAGCAAGTTTTAGGGGAAAGGTAGTAAGACCCGCATTGAGCTGAGTTTACCTTTGACATGACTGCAGGACCTACAAGTGGGGCTGTTCTCCAGGAAGGCAACTCCCAAACCGGGCCAATGACTGGCATTTTAGGAAGTATTCAAATACACAGATTCCCAAGCCTTTATGTTAGAGATATTTATTTCCTAGGTCTGCATTGGGTCTTGAATTTTTTATGCATTTATTGTGGCTCCTGAATAATTCTCTACTTACATTTTAAAAACCAATAAGCAATTTACATAAGACCAAATAACACAGTCAAAAGTCTCCCTCCCTACACCTTGCCCAATTCCCATCCCTATAGGCAACCAACCTTGTTTTTTGCATACCCTTCCAGAGATGTTCCATCCCCATTCAAATGGAAGCATGCCAGATGCACTGTTCTGTACCTTGTTTTCACTTACTATCAGAGAGCTCTTTTAGTTTTTAAAAAGCTCCAAGGAGGCTGGGTGCGGTGGCTCATGCCTGTAATCCAAGCACTTTGGGAGGCTGAGGCGGGCGGATCGCCTGAGGTTAGGAGTTTGAAACCAGCCTGGCCAAGATGGCAAAACCCCGTCTCTACTAAAATTACAAATATTAGCTAGGCATACTGGCAGGCACCTGTAATCCCAGTTACTCAGGAGGCTGAGGCACCAGAATTGCTTGAACCCCAACCGCGGAGGTTGCAGTGAGCCAAGACTGCACTACTGCATTCCAGCCTGGGTGACAGAGTGAGACTCTGTCTCAAAATAAAAAAATCTCCAAGGAGAGTCTGATGATTAGTTAAGTACAGGGATCACTGCTCTAGGTAGCTGAAAATAGACGACTGAAATACAGATGAGAAGCTAGAATTTGTGACTATATCATACATTCCACAAATATTTCCTGATCATCTACTAAAGGCCAAATGCTGTGCCCAATGTCAAAGATGCAACAGCGAACAGTGGATACCATACATACCCTCCAAGGGTTCACAGGCTGGCAGGGGAGAAGCACGTCATTACAGGGTGATCAGTGATGCTGAGAACAGGGACAGGATGCCAAGAGAATACACAGAGGGGTGTCTACACTAGTTGTGCAGTTAAGGGTGTAGGGACCGACTTTCTAGAGGAGTGACCTACAGGCTGAGAACTAGGTCAGTGGCGAGGCTGTGATGGTGGGCAACTTGCTCTTGAGGGAGTGAGTCTGGTAAGAAGAGTTAAGCGAGGCCAGGAACGGTGGCTCATGCCTGTAATTCCAGCACTTTGGGAGGCCAAGGTGGGCTGATCACCTGAGGTCAGGAGTTCGAGACCAGATGACCAACATGAAGAAACCCCATCTCTAGTAAAAATACAAAATTAGTTGGGCGTGGTGGTGCATGCCTGTAATTCCAGCTACTTGGGAGGCTGAGGCAGGAGAATCAATTAAACCCGGGAGGCGGAGGTGGCGGTGAGCTGAGATTGCACCACTGCACTCCAGCCTGGGCAACGAGAACAAAACGCCATCTCAAAAAAAAAAAAAAAATTGCTAAGCAAATTTATTGTTCAGAAACTAGAGAGAAATGCACACTAGTGCTAGGATGTGGCTGTCAGGAGCAACTTTGATCCCCACGTGCCCTGGGGGAAGGGACACCTTGCCTGTCCTTCCCGCTCCTCTGCCCAGGTAGCTGGTCAGGTCTGTCAGATGCCTACTGCCTGCTGCCACCAGAACTCATCCCCAGGCTCCCTGTCTACCCTCTCATGGACAGTTTGCCACGTTCTTTATGTGTCCAGACCTTGACTTCTGAGTACCGTAGTCAGACTGGTTTCCCCAGCATCTGTCCTGCCCTGGTAGATGGCACCTAGCACTTGGTATATAAAGAAGTGCCTAATTAAAAAAAAAAAAAAAAAAAAAAGAAGTGCCTAATAGATGTGCACTAATGAACAAATGAATCCTGAGGTCTGCTGATCTCAGACCTCTGAGTCTCATGTCCAGGTTGCAAGCTGTGCCCTATTTCCATTCCAGCCAAGGCTAGTAGAACACCTGAGGTTAGAAGGTCGAGACCAGCCTGGCCAACACGGTGCAATCCCATCTCTACTAAAAATACAAAAATTAGCCAGGTGTGGTGGCGGATGCCTGTAATCCCAGCTACTCAGGAGTCTGAGGCAGGAGAATAACTTGAATCCGGGAGGTGGAGGTTGCAGTGAGCTGAGATCATGTCACTGTACTCCAGCCCGGGTGACACAGCAGGACTGACTCAAAAAAAAGGGTAGTGGGTACTAAAGATTGAACAGACATCTCAACAAAGAAGATCTGCAGATGGTAGGTAAATAAGGATACACAAAGACATATGTCATTGGGGAAATGAAAATTAAAACAACAATGAGATACCACTACACACCTATTAGAATGACCAAAATCTAGAACACTGACACCACCAAATACTAGTGACGATATGGAGCTACATGAACTCTCATTCACTGCGGGTGGGAAGGAAAAATGATAACACCGCTTTAGAAAAGGGTTTGCCAGTTTCTTTTTTCTGAGACGAAGTCTCACTCCATCACCCAGGCTGGAGTACATTAGCACGATCTTGATCTCAGCTCACTGCAACCTTTGCCTCCCAGGTTCAAGCAATTCTCCTGCCTCAGCCTCCTGAGTAGCTGGGATTCCAGGTGTGTGCCACCACGTCCAGCTTATTTTTTGTATCTTTAGTAGAGACAAGGTTTCAGGATGCTAGCCAGAATCGTCTTGAACTCCTGACCTCATGATCTGCCCACCCTGGCCTCCCAAAATGCTGGGATTACAGGCATGAGCCACTGCGCCTGGCCAAGTTTGCCAGTTTCTTACAAAACATACTCTTACCATATGATCTAGCAATTGTGCTCCTTGGTATTTACTTATATGATGTGAAACCTTACATCCACACAGAGACCTGCACATGGATGCTTATAGCAGTTTTATTTGTAATTGCCCAAACTTGGAAGCAACCAAGATGTCCCTGTGTAGTGGACAGATAAACCACGGTACATTCAGACAATGGAATGTTTGGCACTAAAAAGAAACAAACTATCAAGCCACGAAAAGATGTGGAGGAAACATAAAAGCATACTAAGTGAAAGAAGCCAATGAGAAAAGGCTACATACTATATGATTCCAACTATGACATTATGGGAAAGGTACAACTATGGAGAGGGTAAAAAACAGCAGTGGTTGCCAGGGGTTAAGGAGTATAAAGAGATGAACAGGCAAAGTACAAGGATTTTTGGGACAATGAAACTATTCTGTATGACACTACAATAGTAGATATATGTCATTATGTATTGATCCAAATTCATAGAATGTAAAACTCCAGGAGTGAGTCCTATTGTAAACTCTGAATGTTGAGCGATGATGATGTAACAATGTGGGTCCATTAATTCTAACATATGTGGCACTATGGTGCGTAATGTTGACAGAAGGGGAGGTTGTATGTGGGTGGGGGCAGAGGGTATATGAGAAAATTGTGTTTTCTGCTTGATTTTGCTGTGAACTTAAAACTGCTCTGAAAAATAGTTTATTGGCTGGGTGCGGTGGCTCATGCCTGTAATCCCAGCACTTTGGGAGGCCAAGGCGGGCAGATCACAAGGTCAAAAGATTGAGACCATCTGGGCCAACATGGTGAAACCCGTCTCTACTAAAAAATACAAAAATTAGTTGGGCATGGTGGCATGTGCCTGTAGTCCGTGTGGTGGTATGCACCTATAGTCCCAGCTACTTGGGAGGCTGAGTCAGGAGAATCACTTGAACATAGGAGGCGGAGCTTGTAGTAAGCTGAGATCGTGCCACTGCACTCCAGGCTGGTGACAGAGTGAGACTCCGTCTCAAAAAAATAAAAAATAGGCTGGGCATGGTGGCTCATGCCTGTAATCCCAGCACAGGAGGCCGAGGAGGGTGGATCACGAGGTCAGAAGTTTGAGACCAGCCTGAGCAACATGGTGAAGCCCCATCTCTACTAAAAATATAAAAATTAGCCGGGCATGGTGGCGTGTGCCTGTAAACCCAGCTATTCAGGAAGCTGAAGCAGGAGAATTCACTTGAACTCAGAAGGCAGAGGTTGCAGTAAGCTGAGATAACGCCACTGCACTCCAGCCTGGGCAACAGAGTGAGACTCTGTCTCAAAAATAAATACATAAAAATAAAAATGAAAAATAAAATTAATTAAAAATATCAACTTTGAGAACTCAGTTGTATAAACATGTTTTCAAATAAACAGAAAGGCCCCAGAGCACTGGGACACCTTGATGATCCCCGGGGCCCTTCCCTGTCAGAAGCTTTGCCTCAGCTCCAGCACAGGTAACTCACCAGGCTGTTGGCTGGAAGCTCAGTATGCAGATTTATGTCAGCAATCTTTTGGTTCACCTGGTGCATGGAGCCAATGAGACAGGCTGGGAGGTGAGTCTGCTAAGGAAACTCAGGGTGGTGATTACACACACAACAGGATGGGGCTCGTCTGGTGAGGAGGGCAGCCCCTGTCTGCAAGACCTCTCTCCTTAGTTATTTTCTTTGCAAACTTTCATATTTTTCACATTTCTTTCTTCCTTTTCTTTGAGACAGGGCCTCACTCTGTTACCCATACTGGAGTGCAGTGGTGCAATCATGGCTCACTGCAGCAGACCTCTCGGACTCAATGGATCCTCCCACCTCAGCCTCCCAAGTAGCTGGGACTACAGGCATACACTACCATGCCTGGCTTATTTTTAAAATTTTCTGTAGAGACACAGTTTCGCCATGTTTCCCAGGCTGATCTCACATTCCTGGTCTCAAGTAATCCACCCACCTCAGCCTCCCAAAGTGCTGGGATCACAGGCATGAGCCACCGCACTCGGCCCACATTTCTTTATCTTTTTTTAAATGAGTTACTTTGCAAATTATAAATGAGAGGTGACCATACTATAGACACCTTGAAACATATTTTATATATGTCACTTTTTAGTGAAAAACAGCCATCCATGATGCCACCACCCTAACAACTCTGTTAGGACTTAGGAACTTTCCTGCCAGTATTTCTTACATACATATTTTTGTCCATATTTTATAATCTCAGTGTATGCCTGTTTTACTACTCTAATTTCTCTTCCATTCATTATTAGGAGCATTCTTCCTTCAGCTAAAGGATAGTCATAATAATTTTTATTATTATTATTATTTATTTTTTTTTAGAGGAAGAACGAGAGAAAGAAAGAAAAAGAATAAAGAAAAGGAAGAAAGAGGAAGAAGAAGAGGGAGAGAGAACAGGGGTGTTGCTTTATTGCCCGGGCTAGAATGCAGTCTAAAACTGGGTATGCCTGTAATTGTGTTTAATAATAGAGACATTAAAAAAAAAAAAGAGGGAAGAAAATAATTAACAAGCAGCCAACCAATATTTCATTTAAACCTGTAAATATGTGTGATGTAGTACTGATAAGAGTATATATTTCGTGTATTTAAAGTGGAGAGTTCTATGAATGTTAATTAAGTCTACTTGTTCCAGATCTGAGTTCAAGTCCTAAATATCGATGTTAACTTTCTGTCTCATTGATCTATCTAATATTGATGTTGAAGTCTCCTACTATTATTGTGTGGGAGTCCAAGTCTCTTTATAAGTCTTACATATCTGGGTATTTCTGTATTGGGTGCATATATGTTTAGGATCTTTAGCTCTTCTTGTTACATTGATCCTTTTATCTTTATGTAATATCCTTCTTTGCTTCTTTTGATCTTTGTTGCTTTGAAATCTATTTTATCAGTAAAAATTGCAACTCCTGCTATTTATTTATTTTAGCTCTCCATTTGGTTGGTAAATTTTTCACTATCCCTTTGTTTTGAGTCTTTATGTATCCTTGCATGTGAGATGGATCTGGATGTAGCATACCAATGGGTCTTGGCTTTTTTGGCCTGTCTGTGTCTTTGGATTGAGAGATTTAGTCGATTTAAATTTAGAATTAATAACAATATATGTGTGTTTGATACTGTCATTTAATGTTAGCTGGCTGTTTTGCCCATTAGTTGATGCAATTTCTTAATTATGTTGATGTTCTTTATTTTTTGGTATTTTTTAGAAAGGCTGATACTGGTTGTTCCTTTCTATTTGTAGTGGTTCTTTCAGAAGCTCTTGTAAAGCAGGCCTGGTGGTGATGAAATCTCTGAGTGCTTGCTTGTTCACAAAAGATTTTATTTTTCCTTCGCTTATGAAGCTTAGTTTGGCTGGATGTAAAATTCTGGGTTGAAAGTTCTTTTCTTTAAGGATGTTGAATATTGGCCCCCACTCTCTTCTGTCTTGTAGGGTTTCTGCTGAGAGATCTGCTGTGAGTCTGATGGGCTTCCCTTTATGGGTAACCTGACCTTTCTCTCTGGCTGCCCTCAGTATTTTCTCTTTCATTTCAACCCTAGTGAATCTGGCGATTATGTGCCTTGAGGTTGGTCTTCTTAAGGAATATTTTTGTGGTGTTCTCTGTATTTCCTGGAGTTGAATATTGTCCTGCCTTGCTAGGTTGGGAAAGTTTTCCTGAATAATATCCTGAAGCGTACTTTCCAGCTTGGATTGATTCTCTTGGTCACATTCAGGTACACCTATCAAACGTAGATTAGGTCTTTTCACATAGTCCCACATTTCTTGGAGACTTTGCTCTTTCTTTTTTATCCTTTTTTCTCTAATCTTGTCTTTTTGTTTTATTTCATTAAGTTGGTCTTCGACCTCTGATATCTTTTCTTCTGCTTAATTCGGCTGTTAAAACTTGTGCATAATTTGCGAAGTTCTCATGTTGTATTTTTCAGCTCCATCAATTCATTTATATTTCTCTCTAAATTGTGTGTTATTATTAACATTTCATCAAACCTTTTTTCAAAGTTCTTAGTTTCTTTGCATTGGGTTAGAACAAGTTCTTTTAATTCCCAGAAGTTTCTTATCATCCACTTTTTAAAGCCAGCTTCTGCTAATGGAACACAGTCTTTCTCCATCAGGCCTTGTTCTGTTGCTGATGAGGAACTGTGATCCCCTGTAGAGGGAGAGGCGTTCTGAGTTTGGGTATTCTCAGCCTTTTTAGGCTGGTTTCTTCCCTTCGTTATAAATTTATCCATCTGTGGTCTTTATAATTACCATCTTTATAGTTGGGTTTCTGAATGGACGTCCAACTTGTTGATTCCCAGCGCTAGAATCTGAGCAACCCACTACACTGGCCGAAACAGCGGCTTTAAGATTGATGGTGCTTTTCTGACTCTGCAACAAGAACCGCCGCACCAGGCAGCGGCAAAACCGCTTCACCGGCTCAAGATTCGCGCTGGTGACACGTAGGGCTCCTCCGCTGGGAATCTCCTGGTGCGTGAGCAACAAAAATTGATCTGAAAGTGTGGCGTCCTCTCGTTCTCTGCTCTTTCAGTGGGAGCTGCAATCCTGAGCTGCTAGTGATCAGCCATCTTGGATCTCTCTCCATAAGTCGTCATAATAATTATTTTAAGTGACATTATACTAATCTATTTGGAGGAAACACCTTAATACACTTAACTGTTCCTTGGAGATTAAAGATTTAAGTTATTTACACTTTTTTACAATTATAAATAATGCTGGCAGGGCGCGATGGCTCACACCTGTAATCCCAGCACTTTGGGAGAACCAGGCGGGTGGATTATGAGGTCAGGAGTTTGAGACCAGCCTGGCCAACATAGTGAAACCCCATCTCTACTAAAAATACAAAAAATTTGCTGGGGGTGAAGGCAGGTGCCTGTAACCCCAGCTACTTGGAAGGCTGAGGCAAGATAATTGCTTGAACCTGGGGAGGCGGAAATTGCAGTCAGCCGAGATTGCGCCACTGCACTCCAGCCAGGCAACAGTGGGAGACTCTGTCTCAAAAATTAAAAAATAATAATAATAAAATAAAATGCTGTGTGCCAGGCATGGTGGCTCACACCTGTAATCCCAACACTTTGGGAGGCTGAGGTGGGCTAATCACTTGAGGTCAGGAGTTTGGGACCAGCCTGGCTAAGATGGTGAAACCCTGTCTCTACTAAAAATACAAAAATTAGCTGGGCATGGTGGCTCACACCTGTAATCCCAACACTTTGGGAGGCTGAGGTGGGCTAATCACTTGAGGTCAGGAGTTTGGGACCAGCCTGGCTAAGATGGTGAAACCCTGTCTCTACTAAAAATACAAAAAGTAGCTGGGCGTGGTGGCACATACCTATAGTCTCAGCTACTCAGGAGGCTGAGGCACAAGAATCGCTTGAACCTGGGAGGAGGAGGTTGCAGTGAGCTGAGACTGCACCACTGCACTCCAGCCTGGGTAACAAAAAAACAAAAACAAAACAAAAAACAAAGAAAATGAAAAATAAATAAATAAAGGTGTGATGCACATGTCACATGGAGAGCTGTTTCCATATTTTAGAATATTTCTTTATGAGAGATTTTCAGGTGACAATGGCTGCGTCAAAGGGTATCTTAACCTTGTTTATCACTTGAAATCTGTTCAGCTAGACGGCCCCTCTTCCTACTCTCTCAGCTTTTACATTGCTTTCTGTCTTAGCCTCAGTGGTCTAGGATATATTCTTTGTAAAAGCCCCATAATCCTATCATCCCTCACTCCCTTCACATAAAGCAAGGTTCACTTTTACTTCCATTACTCTCAAGTGTTCTTACAAATCAGAGGATACTTGAAAAATGAGGACACCAAGAAGGGACATGACAAATTCGCAGCAGGTGAAATGGACTTGTTTGGAGTAAGATTAAGAAGAAAGAGGGGACATTGGAAAGCGGCCCTGCAGAATGAGACCCTGAAGCAAATTCTGATGGGATCACACTTTGCCTTATCTTAAGAAGGGCTTCCGAGAAGCATGGAAAGTAAGGGGGAGAGTGGTACATGCAGCTAGCTGTTGGTAGCAAAGTTTGAAGTTGAATAAGCTCTACAAGAGATGGAAAGGCCTGAGGTTATTTATAGCCCCAGAAGGTTATTTGCTGGACAAACTGTAATGTCCTCCAGAGATAGAGTTCTGTGACACTGGAATACAACTCAGGGTCAGAAGTGAGATGAGGATGAATGAAGACAGGCCAGGGAAGTAAGATGCTAGTAGAGCCTGGATGATGCCAGAAGAAGCAGATTTTGGGCCAGGTAGAAGGGCTGGCAGGTAAGAAGAGGCAAGGTCAACCTGATC